TGCCAGGAGCCAGGAGCTTCTTCTGGGTCTCCCATACGGGTATAGGAGCCCAAAGACCCAGGCCATTGTCCCCTGCTTTCCCAGGCCACTGGGAGACAGCTGGATTGGAAGGGGAGCAGTGAGGTGGGGAGTGGCCCAAGTGCTTTGTTCCCATGTGGGATGCTGGCACTGCAGGCAGGGTCTTAGCCACACTGGCATCACACACACACCCTGTAGAGAAGGCCTTTGGGGACGGGGAGAGCCCAGAGAACCTCCTCACCTCAGCTTTCTTCCCCAGCTTCTCCAACCTTGAGCTTATTCAGGCTTCGTGAAATTCAAAGACTTCACGAAGCTGCAGACAAAAAATAAATAACATTAGCAAGGAAAGCCAGCTGACCTGCTACAGGGCCAACACAAAGAGGTAGTGGGTAAAGGCACACTGCCTGCTGTGCAGGCATCCCATAGGAGTGCAAGTTCGAGTCCTGGCTGCTCCACTTCTGATCCAGCTCTCTGTCCCATGGCCTGGGAAAGCAGCAGAGAATGGTCCAAGTGCTTGGTCCCCTGCACCGTTGAAGGAGACCTGGAAGAAGCTTCTGGCTTCGAACAGGTCCAGCTCTGGTCATTTGGGAGTAAACGAGCTCTCTGTAACTGCTTTGCAAATAAATACAATATGTTTTTAAAAATCAATTGCAACCACCAGCTGATTGGGGCGATGGACAGTACCGAGCCCTGTAAAGAATCTGGTCTGGGAACACCTCAGACAAAGTCTCTTTGGGATCAATTGAAATGCTGGACTCAGAACCCTAACCATGAAAAGACAGAGGACAGAACAAGTCAATCAACCACCTCAGCTATATGTTGGCAGTGAAAGACGGGGCAGACGGAGACTCTATGATGGACTATGTCAATCAGTGGATTCTTCAACGACCTCATCGTGCTTGGAAGGGCGAGATTGGCAGCAGTTCATAACTGGTGAACTATCAAAACCACTTGAGCAAGACCCTCGGAGCATGCCCCACATCAGGGACCTGGGGTGGGTGGGAGACTGGGTGAGGCTTTTCCTTTAAAATCCCCCTTTACCTCAGATACAAGAAGGAAACAATGTGGAAATAATAGTCTTACCCACTTTCCTATAACCCTTAAACCTTTTTACCATAATTAACTATGTAAAGATTGCCAAAAATATAATAAAAAATAGAAAAAATTTTTAAAAAGCTACTTTGCTAATAAAGTTACTTTGCTAATAAAATGGACATGATTTCATCAGGGCTTCAAACCATCCAGAAAAAAGCAGTACAATTATACTAGTTTATTATTTAAGTTTACTACATAGATAAAAAAAAAAGTTTAGGGGCTGGCAGCACATTAGCTCAATTTGCTCCAAGCACCGGGATCCCATATGGGTGTTTGCTCACGTCCCAGTTGCTCTACTTCCCACCCAACTCCCAGCGTGTGGCCTGGGAAAACAGAACGGCCCAAAAGCCTTGGGACCCTGCATCCGCGTAGGAGACCCTGCAGAAGCTCCTGGCTTTGGTTCGGCTCAGCTGCGTAGGAGACCCTGCAGAAGCTCCTGGCTTTGGTTCGGCTCAGCTGCAGCTGTTGCGGCTGCTTGGGCAGTGAACCAGCAGCCAGCCTGCTACTGCAGCTGCACTGCTCAGACCCGTCCTGTCGCAGTTGCCAAGCCCCTGGCTGTGCTGCCCACCCACTGCACTCCCACAACACGCTCACTAAGGCCCACTCTGCTCGCTCCATCTGCACTGTGAATTCTTTCATCACCCACGAGACGCTGGCTGCAAGCGGTCACTTCCTGTGGCAGTGGGGCTGTGGTCAGCTGTCAGGATTCAAACATCCGCAGGTAGCCTCCCACGCCCAACCACAGCGATGAGCAGGTGGGCAGACGGCGTTGGGGAGAGCCACAGGATGACAACTACGGAGTCCACTGTCCTATGCTTCAGCCAACGAGTTGGCATTTTTAAAGATTTTTATTATTTGAAAGGGATAGGAAGCTGCCAATTTGTGCTGGCTAGTAGTATCCAACACGTGCGGGCTGAAGGCTGGGTCTGCAGCCATGAGTTAAATGAAATAGCCACGGGTTGGCACCTGAGCCGGCTGCAATCCTTCCTTGATTTCCCTTGATGTCTCACGCCCACCCTCATTTGGATATTCAAATAAATAACCCCATTCCCAGTCCTATAAAATGAGCTGACTGCACAATGACCGTCCAGCACTTTCCCTGCCCTTGGGCTCAGGGACCTCCCCCTCAGCTCTGGGTTCCACCGCAGTTCTGGTTTGGGGTGCTGGTTGGCTGAACCAGCACCTATAATATTCACCCTTTACTAACTTGTGTCTTCAGGCAATGAGTCCTTTGAGAGAAAGTCATGGGTGGGGATTCGTCATGGCTTGTGAAAGCAACCGAAAGGAGAAAGCCCACCTGGGGGGACGGGGAAGGGACGCCCACAGGGCCAGTGCACAGCCTTGCTCAGTGTCAATTCAAGCGCAATAAAGGAAAGAGAGAGCGTGGGGGGCGGGGGCTCAGAGACGCCTTGCTCATAAGCCCCAGCTCCAGCCTGGCCATCCATCCCATGCCAGACTCTGCAACTCCCCTTCCGTGCGAGGGCCCCGGGGAGCCCACCGAGCCTGCCCTCGGAGCCCCTGCTCACGGTGGGGGGTGGTAGGATACAGTGCTGCCCACCCACGCGCGGGCGCACTTTACTGCATGCTCTGCGCCGGGTCCTGGCCCTCAGTGAGCTTGGAGCCGGCAGGGTTAACCTCCCGGGTCGTGCACCCCACTGGGGACCCAGGGGTGCCCTGAATTAAGGGCTAATTGCTGCAGAGACCACTCCTCCCGGGAGCAAGGGGGATGGGACAGAGAGAGACGCTTCCTGGTGGCCAGATGGTTACGGCTGGCCCTGCCGAGGAGGGCGCCCTGTGACCCGACCCCGGAACAAGCAGCCGGCGACCGCAGGGCCTCAGCGCTCGGGCCTACCGAGGAGACGCCATCTCGCTGTGCTTCCGGAGGAAGCCGGGCTCGGAGCAGCGCGTCTGGCCGCAGAGCCCCCGCCCCGCGCCCCGCGCCACGCCCGGCCCGGCCCTCGGGTTCCGCCCCTCCTCCGGGCGGACGCGGCGCGGGGCTGGCCCGGGGCGGCGGCGGCGGCAGCAGCGTCGGTGGTGGTGGAGGAGCGAGCGCGGCGCCAACATGGGGGCCCAGCTGAGCACGGTAGGTGGGCAGGGCGGGGCGCAGGCTCGGGCCTGGGGCGTGCGGGGAGATGAGCGCGGGGTACCTGGCGGGTGCCGGCCCTGGGCCCTGGGGCGAGCACCCGGCCTCCAGGGCGTCCGGGGCGCGCGGGACCCCCTGCCCCGGGGCTGCACCTCCACCGCCCCACCCCGCCCCACCCTGGCTCGGGGCGCCCTGCCCGCCGCACCCCGGCGCGACTGCGGGGCTGTGTGACTCAGTCCTGGGCTGGCGCTGTCGTGCGGCCTGGCCAAGTCGGTGCCCGCCCCCTGCCGCCCCCAGAACGCTCTTGGGGCCTCCCCTGGACCTGGACCACCGGGCTGGCGCGTGCAAGCCCGCGGGGTGGGTGCGAGCGTGGCGTGGGGCCAAGGGGGTGTGTGGTGCGCCGTGTGGGCGTGAGTGTGACTAAGCAAGTCCCTACCAGGGCACTCTGAAAAGTTCTGTGGGGAAGGGAACCCAGACGGGATGATGTGAGGTGCCCGGAAGCGTGGGGATCCACGCCGGCATCTCCCACGAGTGTTAGAGCCGACTGGGGGGTGTGCGTGTGGTGATGGCTGAAAGTGCCTGCACCAGGGAGTGCGTGTAAGCATGTGGTCACGTGAGGACCAGCGCACGTGAGTGCGAGGATGTCGGAGTGTGTAGGTGTGAGCTGTGAACGTGTGTCCCTGGGCCTCAGGTTCGCTCTTTTTTCTTTTAAGAAAAGTATTTCTCTGTTGGAGAACAGCGAGAACTCCTCTGGCTCCTTCTGCAGATATGTGCGGTGGCTGGAGCTGGGTACGCAGTCCAGGCCTGCCGAACAAGCAAGGACCCAGTTCCTTGAGCCACCTGCGCTGTCCCTCGGGGTATGCATTTTGGCAGCAAGCTGAGTCGGGAGCTGGACCCAAGCCTTGGTCGTGGGATGGAAGAGTCTTGCCTGCTAGGCCTGCGGCCTGCCCAGTCTGATGAGGGTCTTGGCCTCCCCTTACCAACCTTGTGACCGAGCGATTGGGCACGGGGGTGGGAGGTTCAGCTAGGTTCTGGCCAACTGTCCCAGAGAAGTTGTGCTGCTGACCTATCTGCTGGCAGGGCCAGGGTCAGCCACAGGTGAAGGGCACCCCAGGCTGGGCCTGGGCTCCAAAGTCCACCCACCCCAGGGCTGTCTCTCTGGGTTGGCCTGGGGCCTCCCTCCCTTCCTGCTGGGCCCCGCCCCCTCTCCTACTTAAAAACAAAGGCTGCGTGGGTGAGGAGGGCTGTGCCTCTCAGGTGCCCAGAGCTGGAGCGGGGATCCTCCCTGCTTCTCCAGGCCCAGGTGTGGGAAGTGCTGGCTGAGCCCGCTGCAGCTCCCACCCCTGGGCTTACCTGCCCCCTTCCTCTGGTGGAGAGCCAAGCCCAGGGGACTCTGGGCCGTCTCCAGACCAGGGGCAGACATCGCCCAGTGCCAAGCTGCAGACATTGCCGCTGGCTGCACAGTGTTCTGGAGTCTACAGCATGTCCACCTGCCCCTGCCCCAGGGCCGCACAGTAACTGCTGTGCACGGGTTCCGGCTTGATTCAGAATGCCCATGGCACACCCCGAGCGGGGCCTCCTGGCAGTGGGGCTCGCCCAGGACCTGGGGTACCAGGCTTCTTATCTGAGGGCTGCAGGGCGCCTCCTCCCACACTTGGGGGCCTGGCACCTGAGCCTCCCGCTTGCTCCACGAGAGGTTTCATCTCCATTCTGGGCCCTGTCTCCCAGCCCGGCAGACCGCAACAGGCCGGAGTCACAGGTGCAGTCAGTGAGGTGGTCCTGCTGTGGGACCACCCCGCTCCAGTGCGCAGGGGAGCAGGGCCAGGCGTCCCTGTGATGAGCAGCCAGAGCAGCTGGGCTGTGCCTGCCTCCCCACCCTGCCTGCTTGGGACCCCTCTGCCGCAGGACTTCCTCCGGCTCCCTCCCACTTCCTCCCACATCCAGTGGGGACCAGGAAGGGAGTGGTCAGGCGTGCAGATCGTGGCAGGACAGCTGGTGGTCAGTGACTAGCAGGTAAGCAAAGCTGCCAGGGAGCTGGCCCGTGAGCAGCCCTGGCCCCCAGCACATGGGGCACCTGCTCCCAGTGGGGGGTTGTAGGGTGAAGCAGCCAGGTAGGGTGGAGTAGGGGATGGGTGGCAAGGATAGCTGCCTCTTTGCTCCCTCAGCCTGGTGGGTGAGCCTGGGTGTCCCGGGACCGTGTGCCCATGTAGTCCACTATGTTATCAGAGGCAAAGAGGCCCCCATTAGGGGAAAGTGTGGTGTGCGGGGCCTGGGAGCCAGGTGTGTGTGTGTGTGTGTGTGCACAGCATAGCTGAGGGGGGGCAGGGCCTCAGTCATCTGCCTCCTGTTTACTTGGCCTGCTGCCGGGGTGGGGGCTGGGAAGCAGACCTGGCTTCACCTCCTGTGGCGTGGGGGCTGAACGCACCCCTACCCCCACATGAGTGTTCCGGCTCCAATCCTTGCCCCAGCCAGCACAGCCTGTCTTGTCCGCTGTGTCTCCTGCACCCCTTAGGGCCAGGGTCTGCTGGCAACACCTGAGGGCCCATCCAATGAGGCATGTGGACTGTGCTGGGCAGCGAGGACTGCCCAGGCTGCTTCCCCAGTTAGAATTCTTACAGATAAACTGCCCACCTGTTCTCTCTCACTGGCAGTAGGTGGCCCCAAGCTCAGGTCTGCACCTGCCTGGCCCCCATGCTTGAGGGTGGCAGGTAGCAGCCCCTCAGTGGGCTCCCCACAAGCAGGGCTCCCCAGGCCTGCCCTGGAGCCCGGGCGGCCGCATGACCTGTCCCCAGGCTTAGGTGAGCAAGCAGGGATGGGTGATTCTCTGGGGCCATGGACTCTGAATGCAAACAGGATGGGCTGTGCCTGCCATCCCCTGGGAGAAGTCTGGGCTGATGCCCTGGTTCTGGAAACTTCTAGACAAAGAGCCAGAGAGAGGCTGGGCAGTGTTGGCTCTTCCCTCGGTCCTTCCACAAACTCCTTGGCTGCCTCGTGGGCTGAGTACTTGGGAAAGGGCATACATACCCAGGGCCTCCACTCCTGGGGGTACCTGGGCTCACGTGAGGGGGGCTGTTGCTCACTTCTCAGGGTACCTGTGTACACATTTGGGGGGCCACTGCTCATTCTTCCCAGCCCGGGCTGGGGCCAGTGCCTGGGGACCACTGCCCACACGTTGCCAGCCCCACCTGTTGCCCAGACCAGCATCTGTGGGCTTCAGGGGGTGAAAATGGGGGTTCACTGTGAAATGGGGGTTGCAGTTCCTGGCTGCACCTCTGAGATGGAGGCGTCCCACCCACGTTACTGAACGTGGCTCTGCCAGCTCCCCACTGGGCCGGGAGCACCCAGCCCAGGGGTCTGTTTCCAGGGCCTACACGACAGGACATAAACTCTTGCCTAAGCTTGTTACTGCTGTGACTAACGGGGAGGACTGTCCCTGTGCCCAGGAGCTCCCAGAGGACCCGGACTTCTAAGCCGAGTTCTGTAGGATGAATGGGAGTTTGTTGGTTGCGTACAGCGGGAGAGAGTCTGTAGGGCCTGAAGATAGAGGGGGTGCAGGCTGGGGGGCAAGGAGGAGGAGCTTGGGGAGCAGGGCTCATCTCTGTCCTGCTCCCCGCCCCGCCCCAACCCCAGGGCAGCCCGGAAAGGTAAGATGACTCTCCTGAGGCCCTGAGTGAGGGGAGAACACCTGTGGGGGTGGGGTGGGGTGGTGGCCGTGTCCCCCCGCTGTGCGGCCTGGCACCTGCCTGCAGGGCTGTGGAGGCCCCGCTGAGGGTGCAGTGCCTCACCCTGGGCCTGCAGAGGGCCTGAGGGCTAGCCGAAGCCAAAGCCGCCCCAGCCTGCCTGGCCGGTTTGGAGGCCAGGGCCTTTGCCCTCCTTCCCTGGGGAGTCCAGCTGAGTTGGCAGTGAAAGCTGTACTTCTCAAGTGACAGACTGCACCCCTAGCCCCCATAGCACCCCTGGTCTGAGCCCCTGCTGCAGGGGGTGGGGGTGGAGAGCTGGGCAGTGGCCCTTACCTCCTCTGGGGGATCCTCCCTCAATGTGGGAGCGGCAGGACTTCCAGGGAGGGCAAGGGAAGGGAGGCACACCAGGTCCCGTGTGAGCAGTGGCCACTTTGAGATGCTGCCCTCACGAGGCCCACGGGAGATGCCCACAGGGGAAGTGACAGGCGTGTCCAGGAGCAAGGAACTTGGTTCTGAGCTTCCTGGCAGCCGAGATGAAAAGGGGAGGGGCTTGAGAACAAGGTTTCCCTCACTCTGAACTGGGGTTCTCAGCCCCTCTGAGCCAGCAGTGACCCTCTCGTCCTGGGGTCACTGCGAGTTATAGTCAGGATAGGACAACGTGTCCTGCACATCCCCGCTCGTGGCAGTTCTCTCTCTAGCCGTGTGTGTGTTTGTCCCCCAAGGACATCTGTACACTCCTGACAGCCAGCTGTGTCCCCTGTGGCCCTTCCGTCCTGGCCGGGGTCTGACAGCTGTGGGGCATGCGAGGCCCTGGTCCTCGGCCTGGGTTGGTCTCCCAGGGCGTCAAAGCACTCATCCCTTGGCAGTTTGATGCCACAGCCCTCATGCCCTCATGCCGAGTTGGGGATGCCGTCCTATCTGGAAACTGGGTCCCTTCCTTGGCCTCCGGGTCTCAGCAAGTGCAGGCCTGTGGGCAGCAGGTCTGACGGAGGCTGGGTGCGTCTGGGGGAGCGGCGGGGACGGGGCCCCGCTCTGGAGCTGACCGCCAGGGCCTCCTCTATCCTTTCAGTTGGGCCAGGTGGCACTGTCCCCGGTCTGGTTCCTGTACAGCCTGCTGATGAAGCTCTTCCAGCGCTCCCCGGCACCGGCCATCACCCTCGAGAGCCCGGACATCAAGTACCCGCTGCGGCTGGTTGACAAGGAGGTGGGTGCCGGGCACTCACTTGGGGTGCAGGGCATGGTCCTTCTGGAGGTCCCATCTGCCCATTTTGCAGGGCAAGGTGGAGGGCCCAAGGTCTCTGTGGCCATGGTCCGTTCTCTGACCCTCACTTGCTGTCCAGCGGAAGATGAGAGTGGACTGGACCCCTGGGAAACACGGGGGCTAGCAGATGGGAAGGCAGGGGAGAAGCTGGGGGGTTCTATGGCTGAGCAGCCTCCAGCCCCACGTTTCCATCTGGCCACTCTGCCCACCCACAGCACAGCCATCTTCCAGGCCTCTGGGCCTGTGAGCAGCCTTCCCTGGGTGAGGCCCGCCCTTAGTTCTATTCCTGGCTGCCTCGGGAGGGCGTGGCAGGAAGCAGTGAGTCACCGCCCAGCGCCCTGGGGGCCCTGGTCTCCCCTGAGGTTGGTCCAGCTGTGACCCACGTGAGTCTCCTGCCTGCAGGACAGGACCCGGGCCTTCCCGTGACTGGCCAGACGTGTGTCTGTGATTGTCTGGGGACTCACAACGAAGTCGGAAACCCTAAAGGAGTGACACAAAACAGAAAGCAAATGGTGGCGGGTGTTGGCACAGTGGTGCAGACACGCCGCTTAGGATGTCCCATGGCACAGGAGAGGGCCAGGTGCGAGTCCAGCTTCCCCCTGGGTGCACCTTGCAAGGCAGGGGGATGGCTCAAGTCGTGTCCCTGTCACCCCATGGGGAACCCAGATGGAGTTCTGGGCTTGGCCCACCCTGGCTGTCCCAGGCTTTGGGGTGTGAGCCAGCGCGTTGGAGCGTTGGAGCTGGGCTTCTGCCAACATACACACACACACACACACGCACACACACACACGCGCGCACACACACACGCACACACACACAGAGTCATCCCCCCCATTCCACACTCGCATCTCAGTGTTTTTAATTAATTCTTCTCATGGGGCACACATTTTTTTTTCTTAACAAAATGAAACTATGATGAACCTGACTTTTTTTTAAAGGATTTAATTATTTTTATTGGGAAAGCAGATTCACAGAGAGAAGGAGAGACGGAGAAAAAGATCTTCCAGCTGCTGGTCCATTCCCCAAATGGCCACAACGGTCGGAGCTGAGCCGATCCAAAGCCAGGAACCAGGAGTTTCTTCTGTGTCTCCCATGTGGGCTTAGGGCCCCAAGGGTGCCCCAGGCCATAGCAGGGAACTAGATCGGAAGTGGAGCAGCTGGGATATGAGATGCTGGCACTTCAGGCAGAGGTTTAACGTGCTGTGCTGTGGACCTGGTCCCTCTTTAAGATTTAATCATTTATTTATTTGAAAAAGAGGAGTTCTTTCATAGATTCATTCACTCCCCAATGAGTTCACCAGCCAGGCTGAGGCCAAGAGCCAGGATTCATCTGGGTCTCCCCTACATGGGTGGTGGGGACCCAGGTATTTAGGCCGTGACCTGCTGCCTCCCAGGGGCTCAAGCCGTCCCCGCGTGGAGGGACGCTGTGTGTGTACCACAGATTTCTTGTTTCTTTGTCCCTTGATTTTTTTTTTTAATTCAGTCACATGACAGACTTGTGTGTTTAACCCGAGACTTCTCTGTGTGTTTGCTTAAGACTCAGCATTTCATGACAGAGGAGCCCCTTCACTTGGGCAGGTGGCAAACAGCCCTGTGTCCCTGCTGCAGCCCGTGCCCCAGCCTGTCGCCCTGTGGGACCAGCAGGAGGGCCTGCCACTCCCTTCTTTGGGGGCAGCAGGCTGCCCTGCCTGCTGAGAGGTGTGGTCGTCAGCAGGGGTCTTGTCCCTCACTCCTGCCCCTCTTCTGAAAGTTAGTTGGCGTGTAGGTGTCGACCTTGAGCCATAAGTCCTGCCTGACTCTGGAACCCCACTGGGGCTCCCTCTTCCCTGAAAGCAAAGGCTTCTGGGGCACCCAGGCCTGTACCCCAGGTGGGCTTCGGTCTCCTATGCTATTGCCGCAGGTCTGTCTTGGGGCATTGCCCCGTGCTGGGCACTTGCAAGGGTTGAGGGGTTCTGCCCCAGGCTGAGCCGCTGCCCTGGCCGTGGCTCTGAGGGTTCTCTGCTTGTGTGTCGGACGTGGCAGCCACCTATATTGTCGCCGCCTTCACCTCCCTCCCTCCTGACTGCCTCTGGGTGCAGGGGCGACCCCATGAGGTCTTCTGGAGCCCTGGTTGGGTTTGGTTCTTTGCAGGATCTTACCAAATGCTGTCCCCTGGCCTTGGCTCGGGTCCCCTGGGTTTCCATCTTGCCTCTGTCTGTGCAGGGCAGAGGTTTGGCTCTGGGGGCTGCCCCATCCCAGCCCGGCCTTGGCTTCCTGTCCTCTGTCGCCGAGTCAAGCCTGGTCCACCTCCTCTCAGCTCTGCCCGGTTGCCAGCCCACTCCCCACGTTCCTCTTGCTGCCCTTGGTGATGCTAGAAGGGGCTTCCTCGCTGCTCCTCCTGGCATTGTGTGTGTGCATGACCCCGTGTGTGCCTGGCATCCTCATACCCGCCCACACGTGGAGTCTGCGTCCCTGGGGTGGGCGGTGGTCCCATGCTGGTGGAGCCGCCGGCAGCCGTGGTCTCTCTGCAGGTGATCAACCATGACACCCGGCGCTTCCGCTTCGCTCTGCCCTCACCCCAGCACATCCTGGGCCTCCCCATTGGTGAGTGCGAGCAGCTCCACAGGCAGAAGGCTGGGCGCAGCCAGGGAGAGGGTTCAGTGCAGGGGCAGGAGGCCCAGATGGGAAGGGAATCCCTTTCGGGGGGGAGAGGCAGGGCCAGGGTGCTGGCTGTGGGTTACCTGCAGGGTTGGCCCCTGGCCCACAGCAACCCCTGCCCACCCTACAGGCCAGCACATCTATCTCTCGGCTCGAATTGATGGCAACTTGGTCATCCGGCCCTACACGCCTGTCTCCAGCGATGATGACAAGGGCTTCGTGGACCTCGTGGTCAAGGTGTGCTCAGTGGGGGTGGGGGTCAACGTCTCAGGGAGGGCCTGGTCTTTCTCTGAAGATCTGTTTGTGTGAAAGGCAGAGAGAGTTCTTCTATCTGCTGATTCACACTCCAAATGGTTCTGAAGCCAGGAGCCCAGAATTCCATCTGGGTCTGCCCTGTGCCTGGTGGAGCAGACTCCTGGGAGGTGCTGCTGGCCACGCCAGGGGAGGCCTCGGGCAGCCTGCGGGGTGACCTCCGGGGCTGGCCTCTGTGCCCTGCCCTGTGGCTGAGCTGGCCTCCGGAGGCCCCGGAGCAGGGCACGGAGCACTGTGGCCTTGTCCTGCAGGTTTACTTCAAGGACGTACACCCCAAGTTTCCTGCCGGAGGGAAGATGTCCCAGTACCTGGAAAACATGCAGATTGGAGACACAATTGAGTTCCGGGGCCCCAACGGGCTGCTGGTCTACCAGGGCAAAGGTGATGGGGGTCAGATCTGGGGAGCAGGAGTGGGCGTGAACGTCCTTGGTGGTGGGGATTGGCTATGTGTTCTGCTGTGCTCCGCCAGGGCCTGAATTTCCCCCTGCACAGGGCAGAGTTGGCTATGCAGGGCTGCACATGCTGCCCGTGGGAGCCATGTCCAGCCGGGGTCACTGTTGTGTGGCTTGCCTCACGTTTGGAAACGAACAAGGCCTGTGCTTGACACTGCGTGCAATGGCGTCTGCCTTGGGGTCCTCCCTTCCCATCCAGCCCCTCTCTCTGGGACCCTGGCAATGGGAGCAGGCTCACCCCTTGTCCTCCACAGGGAAGTTCGCTATCCGTCCCGACAAGAAGTCCAGCCCCATTGTCAAGACGGTGAAGTCTGTCGGCATGATTGCAGGAGGGACCGGTAGGTGGGGTCTGGAGCCCCTTACCAGGTGTCTGCAGGTCCAGGTGGAGGTGAGGGGTGGGCAGGGGTGAGGCACAGAGGATGGCAGGCTGTGAGTTGCCCAGTTGTCCCAGCACCTCTGCCCCTCGGGCACCTGACCTCTACCTGTGTGCGCCAAGCAGGTTCTCACTGAGCCCCTGGGGGTCCCCGTCTTTTCTAGGCATCACCCCGATGCTGCAGGTGATCCGTGCTATCATGAAGGACCCCAACGACCACACCGTGTGCCACCTGCTATTTGCCAACCAGGTCAGTAAGTATCCCCGTGCAGGCTTGGCTCCCCGAGAGAGGCTGGGGCCTCAGCACAGTGTTGACATGCTGGGGTGCTGGGCAGTGTCAGGTGGGGGTCTCTGTGTATCTGGAAGATGCCAGGGTCTGCACTTGACCTTGTCAGGAAGTTTGAGTGGTTGAGGGTTTCTGTGTGGAAGCCTGACCGTATGGGCGGGCGAGCACTGTGGTGGGGAGTCTTGAACATACAAGGGAGGGGGTCCGAGGGTCTCTGCTCGTCGGGTCAGATGCCTCTCTGGGAGAAAACAGAGCCACAAATGGGGTAAGGCAGGAAAATAAGTGACCGGGGCAGGCAGGGGGACATGACACATGTCGGACACCAGGCACCCAGGGTCAGTGTCCAGGCTCATCGACGTGACTGGTGGCAGGACTGTTGTCATTAATAAGAAATGATGAAAGTTAAGAGGCGAGTGGCTCTTTTCCTCACTGTGGCTGGCCTGGGGTGGGAGGGTCCGTGCCAGGGCTGGGCAGTCGCTGTGTGGGGAGTGAGTGGACGTCTCCACCAGGCTGGGCGTTCTTGCACTTGGCCCTGGGGTGGGGGGCCAGGAGAAGCATGTGTCAGCCCCCTGAGGTCCTTCATCACGTGGATACTGTGACCTCTTCTGACCTGAGAACTACAGGTGCATGGAAGGAAGGCCTGGTCTCATATTTCTTTTTCTTTTTGAATTGTGTTACTTGGGGCCAGTGCTGTGGTGGATGGGTAAAGCCGTCGCCCATATGGGCAGCAGTTCAAGTCTGGGCTGTTCCACTTCCAATCTGGCTCCCTGATAATGACCTGGGAAGGCAGTGGAAGATGGCCCAGGTGCTTGGGCCCTGCACCACGTGAGAGATGGGAAGAAGCTCCTGGCTTCCCCTGGGCCCAGCCCTGGCTGTCATGGCCGTTTGGGGGAGTGAATCAGGATGGAAGATCTCTGTGTGCAGGCGTGCCCTCAGCCCTGGTGGGCGCCTGGGGAAGCGGGCTGTGCGCCTGTGTGCCCTGACCACTGGCCCTGCCCCCACAGACTGAGAAGGACATTCTGCTGCGGCCTGAGCTGGAGGAGCTGAGGACCCAGCACTCCGCCCGCTTCAAGCTCTGGTACACGGTGGACAAAGCCCCTGAAGGTGAGAGCGGGCCGTGCAGGCGAGCCCCTCCAGTGACCTACTCGCCTGGATGGGCAATGCCCCGGGGTGCACAGCTGGAGGGCACCCTAGTCCCTGCCTGCCCTGGCTTGGCCATGCCGGGGCACTGGCCGGGCACTTTGTCCCCAGTGTGAGAGGCAAGGACCCGAGTACTTGCCATCCGCACTGGTGTGCATTAGCAGGAAGCTGGAGCTAGGAGCGGAATGTGTCTGTCGCCCAGGCACTCTGCTCTGAGATGCTGGTGTCCCTAGAGGGACCTTAGCAGCCAGGCCAGATGCCAGCCCAGGAAAGGAGCATTGACCCTGGACCCCGTAGGTGATTGGCCATATAGGGCTCCTGAGTCCAGCTTCCTGGAAGCAGTGGTCATGGCTGTAGTTAGACTCCGCCATCCACATGGGAACGAGGAATGCCATGCTGGCTGCTGGCTACAGCTCCCGGGACCAGCGCAGGCGTTTGAAGGACGAGCCAGCTGGTTGGTGGGGCGGGGTGTGTGTGTATGTGGAAGAAGGCCTGTGCTGCTCTGCGTCTGGAAGCCCAGTCCCCAGCGCCCATAGGCCCTGCACACGGGGTGGTCTGATCCAACCAGGTGAGCGGTGCGGGTGACCCCTGCTGGTGGTCTTTGGTAATGCCGGCCACCGTGGCCAGTGGTTACCTTAGGAGATGGCCTGCAAACCCTTGTACAAGTACAGCCTGTTCCCATGCAGTCTAGCAGCTCCCCTCCCACGGCCCCTGGCCCATCTAAAGTGTACCCTGTCTGTCCACTCCTCCGTCTTCCCTGGAGGGACCTGGGGGCTTACAGAGACACCTGTGGTGAGTCAGGAATAGAATTAGAGCAGCAACGTAGACTGTGATTCTGGCTTGCCACGGATGGACCCTGACTCACTCCAAGCTTTCCAGCGGCCAGAGTGAAAAGGGAGATATGGTCAGTTGCTCGGCTGTCTCTGTGAGATAAATGAGGGTCTTACACATAGCCCAGCTCAGCCGTCTTCACAGCTCCAGGGCTGCTAGGACCCTGTGGTGGCTCCTGTGAAGTTGGCATGGCTTGGGCCAGCTGCCCTGGTATGAGCCAGCCGTGTCCCCACCTGCGGCTCCCTGGGGAGGTGTGTGGCTGTGCAGCCTGTGTGTGCCCTTCCATCCCTGGGGTGGGCTTGTCCCCTGAGGGTGAGGAACACCCAAGGAGGCTCAAGACTGGGTGCAGGGGGCCTGGTTGCCACTTCCGCCTGCCCTTCCTCGGCTCGATCTCCACCCCAGCCATCGGGACCACCATTCTCCTGCCCGACCCCCCACTGGCCTGCTGGGCTCATTAACCCTCCACTCGCCGGGCTGGGTGGTCTCCTAGCTGAGCAGCCCCTGCTGGCTGGCCGGTCCATGAGGGTCAGGTGAACCTGTGTCTTTCCAGCCTTGGGGTGCAGGTGCCTTGCACATCGATGCTGTGGGGTGAAGAATTCCAAGGCGGGTCCGGGTCACAGGCAAACTCTTGAGACCGGGGGCTGCTGTGTGCAGCAGAGGGAGGCACGTGCCATTAGCTGGCTGTGTCCTGGCCCTGCTGTCCCTGGCACTGTGTCTTTGGGACATATTCCTTTGATTCATTGTTTATTGGGCAAATACTAGTAGGGGACTCTGCATGCCTGGGGGGAGGGGATGTGCAGTGTCACCTCAATCAACTAGGGGCTGGCCCCTGGCTCGCACCCCTGGAGCATCAAGTTTCCATCCCAGCTCAGTCGCTGTGCCCTGCAGCAGCCCCCCTCGGAATCCAGCCTCAGTTTCCACACCTGCTCAATGGATTTGATGACTGCTGCCCTGCAGCCCCCGGGGGCTCACATGGCAGCAGCCAGCCAGGGCTTGTGTTGTGGCCAGAAGCCACAGCCAGGAGCCCGAGCTGGACCAGGGAGGGGCTTGGGCAGCGGCTCACCCACCTCTCTCCTCAACAGCCTGGGACTACAGCCAGGGCTTCGTGAACGAGGAGATGGTCCGGGCCCACCTGCCGCCCCCAGAGGAGGAGCCACTGGTGCTGATGTGCGGGCCGCCGCCCATGATCCAGCTGGCCTGCCTGCCCAACCTGGAGCTCGTGGGCCACGCCAAGGAGCGCTGCTTCGCCTTTTGACGGCTGGCTGCTCCGCCGCCCACCAACCCACCCGCCCGCCCACCCTGCCCTGCCGTCCCCTCTCTCTGTCTAGGTCACACACTGGGCCCCGGGTTCAGCCTGGCCTGCCCGGGCCCTGGTGGTCACCCCCTCTGAGCTGGCCCCTCGGGAGTGGCTGCTGTGTGTGTCCACTGGGCCATACGAGCTACTTTGAGGTCAGGGTCCTGCCCCTGGCCCCCCACCCCGGCACACACTACAGGCTGAGCTGGCAGCGGCCCAGGAGCCGAGTTAGACGGAAGCACGCACACACAGCCGGGAGCAGCGGGGTCCAGGCTCTGCCGCACCCCTGCCTGGGCGCCTGACACTACACCGATGGATAACACCCTCAGCGGCGGGCGGCCCCTTTGGCTGCGGCCCTCCTGCCACCCCAGCTCAGCAGGGGCACCCAGGAGGTGCTGGCCTCAACCACTTTGTCCCAGACATAGCCTGCCCGTGCGTCGGCCCCGGGTCTGAAGCATGTCCGGGCCAGCCCTGGGCAGCTGCGATGTTGCCTTCACACAGCTCTGTTAGCCTCTTGCCTAGTGGCTTTTTCAGTCATTTATAAATGAGCAGAAACGGAATAAATAAAACTTTGCTACCGGGAACCCTTGTGGAGTGCTGATTGGGGGGTGGTGTGCGGCGCGGGGATCCTGCGGGTTCCTTCTGAGCCTGTTGTCACAGAAGCTGGGCTCCCTGCCCCAACCCAGGGGGTCCTTGAGGGGCGGGCCAAGAGCTCTCATTGGCATTTCAGGCTGATAAATGAAAAAAAAACGCTGCCGGAGTAATCCTCAAGAGATGGCTCTAGAAACTGGTCTGCTTTTGCGAAGCTGAGGGGGACGGGCAGATCGCAGCTCCCAGGCATCCCGCAAAGTAGGCGGGTCACCATAGGGACGACCTTTACCCGCTCAAAAATTCGTCTCACATTAGCAGTGAGGATTCGGGCGTCACCCCGAATCGTTATTTTCCTTACTCATAAGTTTAAGGCATAAAGAATAATACTCCCTGCTCCCTGGGTGATAAATGCCATTCTCATTAACACTATGGTGAGTACTGAGATGGATCTGTACGCGGATACTCATGTCCCCGTGGAGTTTACCCGACTTGTTAGAGAATGCTCTACTACCAGTTTTCACGATATTTGCTCGTCTACGGAGAGTAAAAGATCGGGGGTTGGCCCACCCGCCATATGCAGATAAGCAGCCGGCATCGCGAAGGCTCAAGGGAAACGGCCCGCCCCTTCCGGCCCTGGTCTGATTTACGCAGCCGCAAGAGTGCGTGGGCCGTACGCCGGAAGCGGCTGCCTGGGGGCGGACTCCGGGCCGAGGGCGTCGGAGCGGCGCAAGATGGCGGACCTCTCCCTGGACGAGCTCATCCGGAAGCGCGGGACGGCGACCAAGGGGCGGTGAGCGACATTTGCTGCTGTCGGGGCTCGGGGTCTGAGGCCCGCGGACCTCGGGCTGGAGGAGGGAGCAGCCGGGACGCGGCGCCGAGGGCCTGGCTCCTGCCCGCCCGCGGACCGGCGGCACAGGCGTCGGGGAGGGCGGGCCGGGGAGGCCGGGATCCGGCTTGCGAGGAGTGGGTCGGGGTGGGGGACGCAGCCCTTCCCTCAGCTCCGGACCCGGGGGACGCAGCCCTTCCCCTCGGCTGGGGGCGGGGTCCCCGAGCTGCAGGCTTTGCGCCAACCTTCGAGTTCAGACCCCTGGGTGGAGCGGGGAAGCCCGGTGGCCCGGCGTCCGACTTGGGCTGGCGCGGGGGCGCTTGTGAGGTTGTCCAGAGGCAGCGGGGCGCGGGGGTCGACGCCTCGGGGGGCCTTGGAGGCGCAGGTGCTGGCCGAGAAGCACCCCGAGTGGGGCCGGGCTGCAGGGCGCGCACCTGCTGCAGACCCCTTGCAGCTGCAGGCTCCCCCGGACGCTGCTCGCCTTCTTCGGGGCGCGCTCCCTCTGGAGCGTTTCTGCCGCTTCGTGCTCCGGACCGGCCGCCGGCGTGTTGGGACCCCCTTCTCCGAGGGCTGGCTTCGGGGGGGACGGCTGCGGACTCCTGGGGGGCCCAGGCTCTGCTCGCCCCTCGAGCGCCCCCACGCTCCCCGCCGGGCCTGAACGCCTGGCTGGCATCCTTGGCTGTGGGAGCCATCGTTAGGGTCTGGCAGTGGTGCCTCTGCTAGGGTGTGGAAAGGATGAAAAGGAGAGGTGGATAGGTTTTTGTAGTTTGAACTTTTACTTGAGAGGCTGGCTTGGGGTGGATCTTCGCTCTGCGTGGCAGGAGCCAGGTGGTGGATGTGCGAGCCGCCTTCTGCTTCTGCCGCCTCCTGTGCCTTTCTCGGCAAACTGTCTGACCTTCCCCTTCTGCATTTTCTTGGTGCTTACCGTGTACTTACAGCACTTTGAAAAGAGTCCGATGTGATGTGCTTAATGGCTCTTAGCTCTGTCAGCAGCAGCGTTAAAGGCTTTTTAAAAAGATGCTTACTTGAAAGGCAGAGAGAAGTCCTCCAGGTGCTGGTTGGCTTTCCAAAAGGTCGCAACCCCCAGGGCTGGGCTGCACCCACAGCAGGAGTCCAGTGGGTCTCTCACATGGTGATGGAGGCCCAGACATCAGGGCTGCCCTCCTAGAAGCCCTGGCAAAGTCAGACACGGATGTGCGTGCTGCAGGGGTACAGGCAGGGAGGCTGGCATAGAGGAACCCCAAGTCGCTCTGGGACTAGAAATTTCATCGCGGCTTCCAGTCAGCACAGAGAGGCAGGCTAAGGTCTCTTGTCCTAACAGGTGTCCTCCAGTGGGTAGGGAGTGCATTAAACTTGTGTGTGTCGGGTTCTGAATGCAGAAGGCACACACTCCCCGCTCGGGGCTGTGGACACTGGTGGTCCTGGGCCTTGCACGAAGGACATTCTAGCAGCTTGGCCTACCAGAGTTGTCCTAGGAGGGGCTGGTGAGAGCGGAGGCAGCAGCAGGTGGCTGTGGAGGGAGGGACCCTGGCCCGCGGCTGAGCGCTCATCCAGGGAGTTGGCCTCCTTGGCAGCCATTCTCTTCTACCAGGACCCTCCGTGGACGGTCAACAGATTGCTCGATGCGAACTTCTAGAACGGGAAGGGATTGGGGCGGAAAGGGCCTGGGGTCAGGTCTGCCCTGCGCACACTCACCATGTTGGCCTCTGCCCTTAGAATAGATGGCCTGTTTCCAGGCCGAGGCCGACTGCAGTCTGGAGGGAGTGGGGGAGCCCCTCCATGGTCCCAGTCTGGGGCCGCTGCCGGGAGCAGCTGCAGGCCGGCCGTCCTGTGTGCTGGGCGTCTGGGCCGAGTGTTTGGTGCTTGCTTGCTTTGTTGAAATACTGTAAAGAGAAGGTAGCCCTAACCATGCAGGGGAGGAAACGAGTTGTTGCATAACTTGCAGAATTGGGTTTATAAAGTGGAACTTGGTAAGGGGATAGCAGCTTCATGTTTTTCTTTTCTTTTTTAAGATTTATTTATTTTTATTGGAAAGGCAGATATACAGAGAGGAAGATCTTCCATCCGATGGTTCACTCCCCAAGTGGCCGCAACGTCTGGAGCTGAACCAGTCCGGGGCCAGGAGCTCTTCTGGGTCTCCCACACGGGTGCAGAGTTCCAAGGCTTTGGGCCATCCTCAACTGCTTTCCCAGGCCACAGTCGGGGAGTTGGATGGGAAGCAGGGACACCGGGATTAGAACCAGTGACCATATGGGATCCTGGCACGTGCAAGGCGAGGGCTTTAACCACTACACGATCGTGCCGGACCCGCCTTCATGTTTTTCTAAAGTGCCTAGTTCAGGATTTGCCCTCCACGGTGTTGGCGCTGTGTGGTCTCCTGTAAAAATCAGCATGCTCCTTCGTTGACCCGTAAAATCTCATGGATTAAAGTCTGCTTTATACTAATCCAGGGCCGTTCGTGGGTCCGAGTCCTCCAGCCTGGCCATCTGCCCTCGTGGAGCCAGAAGGCAGAGCAGTGCTGGCTCTTAGAGACCCTACCCTGACTGCCACTTGGAGGCCCACTGCCAGCCAGGGGTGTAGGGAGGACCTGGTCCAGGGGGGCTTGTGCCAAGGGTACCCCAGTGGTCCCCAGTGAAGCTGTGAGGCTGAGCTGTGCTGGAACGGGCTGCGATGGGCAGTTAGGGAGTCTTACTGCTACTTGAGGTGCCTGCTTCCCACCTGCTCGCTTCCGGCTTCCTGCTCGGGTACCTGCTAGGGTGAGTTATGTCCCTGGAGAGACCTGGGTGGAGTGCCTGGCTTTGGCTTGACCCAGCCCTGGCTCTTGCTGGCATTTGGGGAATGAACCAGTAGTCTGAAGATTCATTTACTGTCTCTGCTTTTGAAATACTTTTTATTTTGTTAAGATTTATTTATTTTTCTATTGGGAGGTCAGATTGGCAAGTCTCAGCAGTGCCTGGCCAGCATAGGTGGAATGCCAGCATAGGTGCCTGCCTCGTCTTCCCCAAAGGTGTTGTGCCTGTGGGGCCCGAGTGCTGCCTGCTGTCTGGCCTCAGTGAGTGCGTGCTGGGTGCCTGGGGTCTGGTGTTTTTTGGAATGGCTGATCAGATGCTGGAGCTGAAGTAGCAGGCGTAGGCGCAGAGGGACTGCTTCTTTCCTTGTTTCCCTGTTTCTTCCAGGTTCTGTGGACAGTGATGCCCAGGCTGTTGCTGGGCGTCTCAGATACCTGTGGCTGGGACTGAAGGGGTGGCGGTCACCTGCCCTGTCACCACGTCCCCGGGCTCGCATTAGGACACTGGAGTCAGGAATGGGGACGCCAGGACGCTCACCTGTGTGGTGCGGTGTCTAACTGCTGGGCTTGATGCTTACTTGAAAGAGTCACAGAGAGAGATCGTGCACCTTCTAGTTCATTCCCAGATAGACAACAGCCAGAGTTTGGTAGGTCTGAAGGTAGGAGCCAGGAGCTTCGTCCAGGTCTCCCGTGTGGACATAGGGGCCCAAGGCCTGAGCCGTGCTGCCTGTTCTCCCCAGCCACAAGCAGTGAGCTGGACGGGAAGAGGAGCAGGGCAGCTGGCACTGAGACTGGTACCATATGGGATGCCAAGGCAGCGGGCAGAGAATTAGCCTACTACATCGCTGCATTGACCCCTGCAATTTTTTTTAAATCTTGGGACGTTTTAGCATTTGTCATGTTTTTCTCTTTTGGTCTCCCTTTTCCCTCAAGTTTATTATCATCTCTCAAGGACCTGAGGAGATGTACGCTGCAATTGCTGATTGACCCCCAATGCCTACAGCAGTCAAGAGTGGGCGAGACCAAACCCGGAGCCAGGCATGCCATCTGGAATCCAGTTGGGATGGTGGAAACTCAGGGACTTGGGCTCTTACCCATCACCACCAGGGCATATTAGTGGAAAGCTGGATCGGAAGTGGAAGTGGGATTTGACCTCAGGCAGTCCGGTGTGGGATCTGGTCACTGAAACAGAAGCTTAACCGACAACGCCATAGTGCCACGTGATCTGTGCTGATTATGAAAGATTACTTAAAATGGGGTCCTGGGACCTGGCATGGCAGCGTAGTGGCTGAAGTCTTTGTCATGAAGTGCCAGGATCCCATATGGACACCGGTTCGTGTCCCGGCAGCCCCACTTCCCATCCAGCTCCCTGCCTCTGGCCTGGGAAAGCAGTCAAGGACGGCCCAAAGCCTTGGGACCCTGCACCCGCTTGGGAGACCTGGAGGAAGCTCCTGGCTCCTGATTTCGGAGTGACTCAGCTCTGGCCATTGCGGCCACTTGGGGAGTGAACCAGCAAATGGAAGATCTTCCTCTCTGTGTCTCCTCCTTTCTGTATATCTGACTTTCCAATAATAAATAAATCTTTATTTTTTTTTTTTCTTTTAAAAAGAAGGGCAGACTGAAGCAGGGGGGGCCCCAAAGGGCCGCAGTAGCTGATCTGGGCCAGACTGAAGCCAGGAGACCAGAACTTCACCCTGACATGCTGGGAGTGGCCCGAGGCATGGGCATTGGGCCATTTCGGACTGACTGTTGCGCTGCGTTAGCAGGGCACTGGGTTGGCAGCAGAATGCCATTCCCATCTGGGATGCCAACATGCAAGGGTTGTAACACATGTCCTGGTCCTTACTAATTTATTGGTATTTTCACTAAAGACAGTGAAGCTTAAACTGTTTTCACTGTTGTTAGCTCTGGTCTTGACACAGCAGTTGTCTTCAGTCTCTTCTCATTTATAGACTGTGGACAGTTCACAGGCGTGGCAGGTTTAAAGTTGCATGTTCAGGGACCAGTGCTGTCATCTCTTCCTGGGCACCAGTTCAAGACCTGCCTGCTCCACTTCCGATCTAGATCCCTTCAGACGTGCAGGGACAGCCTGAGTGTCCTGGCTTTGGCCAGCACGGGTTGTGGCGGCCATTTGGGCAGTGAGCCAGCCTCCTGCTGGTAGCCAGACTGCCTGGCCCCACGTCTGTGTCTTCAGTGTCAGTGATGAGTAAGTGGGTTCACCTGGGGGCGTCCTAGCAGCCTTAGTTTCATCTGACTCGTGGTGCTGGTAGTCCAGCGCCTCTGCCCTGTTAGGAGGAGGACCTCGCCAGCCTCAGCAGCAGCAGCAGTGTGAGAGACTTTCAGAGTGCTGGTGGGGGAGGGGACCACTACTGTGCTATAGCTGGTTAAGCCTCTGCCTGTGGTGCCAGCTTCCCATATGGGTGCAGGCTCAAGTCCTGGCTGTTCCATTTCTGATCCAGCTCCCTACTGGTGTGCCTGGGAAAGCAGTGGAAGATGGTCCAAGTCTTTGGTCCCCAGCACCCAGGGGAGACCGGGAAGAAGCTCCCAGCTTCAGACTGACTCAGCTCCAGCCATTGTTGTGTGGGAATGAACCGGTGGATGGAGATCTCTCTGGCTCTCTGTCACTTGTAACCCTGCCTTTCAAATGAAAGTAAATAAATCTTAAAACCAAAAAGGCACTGGGAACACCTTATCCGCCAGTGGGTCCTGAGGGTGGGTCTTTATCAAGGAGTGTGTGTCATGTTCCCATCCATCCAGGGTGCCTAAGTACAGCTGCAGATTGCTGGAGTTACCATGAAGCAGAACCCCACTAGTGTCCGTGGCTGTTATGCCCTGGACCATAAAGCTTAGGTTCACCCAGCCCGGGGTGGGGGCACACAGTCAGCAGAAGCCAGGCTGAGCCAGGACCCCCCCGTGTGGGTGGTGGGCCCCAAGCAGGTGAACCGTTCTGTGCCGACATGAGCCTCTGTGGGCCCCCTTATTTTGCAGGGCACAGGCCAGTAGTTGCTCTCTGGTTCTGCAGGCCTCTCGCAGTATCCCACATCCTGCTCCTGTGGGCTGCTGTTGATATCCAGGCCCGCTTAGCTCTGTGATGTGTTTTTTCAGGCTGAATGCCAGGCCAGGGGTTGGAGGTATCCGGGCTCGAGTTGGGATCCAGCAGAGCCTTCTCAGCCCACCAGCACGCACGGCTGCCTTCCAGCAGAGGTTTGACGCTCGGCAGAAGATTGGCATCTCTGATGCCCGACTCAAGCTGGGGGTCAAGGATGCCCGAGAGAAGCTGCTGCAGAAAGATGCCCGGTTTCGAATCAAAGGGCAAGTGCAGGATGCCCGGGAGATGCTCAACTCGCGCAAGCAGCAGAGTGCGGTGCCCCAGAAGCCCCGGCAGGTGGCTGATGCCCGGGAGAAGATCAGCCTGAAGAGGAGCTCGCCTGCAGCCTTCATGAGCCCGCCGGTCGGGATGGTGACGCCGGCGTTGAAGCTCACCAAGACCATTCAGGTGGGCTGTGGCACGGTTCTCCGGAGGGCAGAGCACGAGTGTGGGCAGTGGGCAGTTCTCCCAAGTTCTTGCAGCTCGTAGGTGCTCAGGAAGGCCTTTTGTGTGTGTGCTTGCCAGGTAACTAACTGTATGAGGAGGTTTATGTCAGAGGGCGCACCGCAGAAACGGAGTGTGTTCCTAGCTAAGCTAGGGGGGAGGCCTCTGCTGAGTGTGGGCATGCCGTGTGACAGATACATCATCCTGTTGCTTCTCACCTCGCTGTACCCCAACATGATCTTCTGGGGTGATGAGTCTGTCCTGGAGGTGTGAATACTGAGTGTCAGCGGGAGGGCCGGGGCTAGCTCAGGCTCTGGTCCCATGCCCCGGCTGCCTTGCACAGGGAGGGGAGCAGTGTCATCCTCACGGCAGCTTTGATCTCGGGACAGTGGGAGCACACACTGGCTGAGTCAGGGTTCCCAAGTCCAGTGCGCATCACAGTGTGGTCTTTGGAATGAATGGAGCTTGTTGTACGAGCTGGGACACTCAGGGCCTTCCACCTGAAGCCAGACTGCTTGCCCCGCAGTGACAGTCCAGCTGCCCACTCGGGAGCATAGGTGCCCCGGAAGGGATGAATTGTGACTGCTGGGTGTTTCTAGGTCCCACAGCAGAAGGCCATGGTGCCACTTCACGCTAATCCTGCTGGAATGAGAATCAACGTGGTCAATAACCACCAGCCCAAACAGGTAGAGTGAGAGTGCACCCGTACACGTGAGCATGTCCCTGGGAGAGAGCGCGTGTGTGCGTGTGTGGACAAGGCGTGCTGGGTGAGCTGACTGAGGCCTGGCCCGAGGTTTCCGGTGCAAAGTGTTGGAGGACGGCGTCCGTGTTAATCGGCTGGTAGTTGCTGTACCCGAGTTCTTGAGGAAAGTTATGTATGAAGGAAAGATCGCTGTGGACCCTGGCTGTGGAGGCTCACTGCCACTGTGAGGACTTTGTTATTGGCACAGTGCTGCAGTAAGCCAGAGCGTCGCTGTGCAAAAAGCGTGTGTGTGTGTGTGTGTTCCCTACAGTGGGATCTGGTCCGGCCACTCTTAAGGCCCCGTTGCCGATCCTGGGCTCAGCTCCCATCTCTGCCTCTTCATTCCATCATCCTGAAACTTTGGGACCAGACTTTAACACATGGGCCTTCCGGGGATGTTCTGACCAAGCCATAGAACACGTTTGGCTTGCTAGTCTGTGTTACAAAGAAACTTAAAACAAAAAAAATAGATAGATTTATTTTTATTGGAAAAGCAGATTCACAGAAAGGAGAGGCAGAGAGATTTTCCACCTGCTGGTTCACTTCCAAATAGATGCAACAGGCAGGGCTGATGAGATCTAGAGCCAGGACCCAGGAGCCTCCTCTGGGTTTCTCACATGTGTGCGGGTCCCAAGGCTTTGGGCCGTCCTCGACTGCTTTCCCAGGCCACAGGCAGGAAGCTAGATGGAAGTGGAGCAGCCAGGATAGCTGGAGCCCATTTGGGATGCTGATGCTTCCAGACAGAGAATTAGCCAGTTGAGCCATCACACTAACCCCACAAGGAAAAAATATTTTTTTAATTAAAATTTTTATTTATTTGAGAGTGTTTCAGAAAAACACTTTTCCATTTGCTCGTTCACTCCTCCCAATGTCTGCAGTGGCTGGGGCTGGGTTGGGCTGAGGCTAGGAGCGTGGAATTGCATCCAGGTCTCCCTTGTGGGCGACACAGAGCCAAGGGCTTGGGCCTTCGTCAGCTGCCTTCCAATGCATTAGTGGGGAGCGGCCAGACTCCCTTGTGGGGTGCTAGCCTTGGAGGTCGGGGCTGACCCAGCTCTGCTGCATCATTGGATTCAGGAAGGCTGTTTTGGAAGAGTTGCAGGCTCGTCAGTCTTCTAACTTCTGATTCATTTCCCCATGTCCCCAACAGCCGGAGCCGGGCCAGGCCAAGCCCAGGGGCCAGGGGCTCTGAGTCCTCCACGTGGGACAGGGACCCAAGCACTTGGGTCATCCTCCATTCTTTCCCCAGCAGCATTAGCAGGGAGTAGAGCAGCAGGGATACGAACCAGCATGTATATGGGATGCCAGGACTGTTGGCAGCAGCTTGACTCGTTATGCCGTGACACTGGCCCTGAACAGAGTTCTGTCGAGGGTCTGTGTACTTCCATAGGCCGGATTCCCGGAGAAGGGCACACGGGCAAGTGACATGTGACTATGTCCCAGGTGGTGATGGACACAGCGGTGGCCTAACTAAAGTGTTTTCCTCAGGTTGAACAGCACATGACTAGCAGGAGTAGGAGGCCCAGTGGGCATTGCTCTCTGAAGATGCTTCAGGGGAGCCCTTGGCTGGGAGGCGGTCCCCACCCTGCTGTGAGGGCTTGCGTGCCACACCAGCTTACATTTCTTTATCCTTAGAACTTGTATGACCTGGATGAAGATGACGACGCTCTGACTCCTCTCCCTGCTAAACAGATGAAGTTTACAGCCTCTGGCAGCTTTCTCCATGGCGCGGTATGGCGGTTCACCTTTTGTTGTTGTCATGTGCACCTCATCAGCGAATGGGACAATCCCCCCTCTCTGTGTTTCTATTGGAAAGGTAGGGGTAGAGAGAAAGTGAGAGACAGAAAGTCTTTGATCCATTGGTTTATTCTCAAAATGGCCACGGCAGGCAGAGCTGGTCCAGTCTGAAGCCAGAGCTAGAAGGTTCTTCCGGCTCTGCTGTGTGGATGCGAGGGCCCAAGCACTTGGACCACCCTGCTGCCTTCCTAGGCACGTTAGCAGGAGCTGGATGGGAAGTGGAGCAGGCGGGACCTGAACTGGCGGCACCCAATGGGATGTTGGTGCTACAGGTGGTGGCTTTGTACGATACAGCCCCAGCCTTTTTTAAAGATTTTTTTCTTTTAGATATTTAAATATTTATTATTTGTTAAAGATTTATCTGTGTCTATTGGGAAGTCAGATATACTGAGAGGAGGAGAGACAGAGGGGACGATCTTCCATCCGCTGATTCACTCCCCAAGTAGCTGCAACGGCTGCCCCTGAACCAATCCGAAGCCAGGAGCCTGGAGCCTCCCCTGGGTCTCCCACACGGGTGCAGGGTCCCAAGGCTTTGGCGACTGCTTTCCCAGGCCACAGCAGGGAGCTGGATGGGAAGCAGGGTCTTGCTATTGCGTGTTAGCGACAGCAAGCACCTGACCCGTGGGTTTCGGCCTGTGCAGCCTCGTGCAGGAAGAGCGGCCAGGCCAGAGTGCTGGTCATTCATCTTGGAGAGGAGACACAGTGTCTCAGGCAGGCAACCTGGCTGCCCAGCCAGCTCCCTGAGCAGGCGCTTCTGCCGTCTTACCTTCGGGAGTGATCCCCCACCTAGGTTGGCCAGTCTTCCATTACTAATGAATCTTGGACTGCTGTGTATCATTGAGTGGTACCAGTTGGTGTCTGTCTAGTAAGTGCAGGCCGTGGTGGTCTGAGGCTGCTGGTCTGGCACTGAGGGAGTCTCCACTGGCCTTCCAGTGGCCAACACAGGTGGGGAAGGTGCTAGGCCTTGACCAAGAGTCCTCTTGCTGCCACCTGAGCAGTTGGGCCTTGAGGGTTCAGTATCTCAGAGCTCCTGAGCAGGCTCACTGGATCACGTGGGCAGCCAGCCTCTGTCCTGGTGCTGGAGGTGTGTGGATGCTGCAAGGGAACGGAACCTCCTGCAGGCAGGGAGGAGCAGGTGGACTGACCCCGACCTGGGCCAGCTGGGCCTGCTGTCTTCCTGCTCTGCCTGCGCCAGTGCCTGCGAGCCCCGGCCATCTTCAGTGGAGCTGGGCTGCCAGCCTGGCAGCTTTCTGACTCGGGGGTGTGTTTCTCCATCAGAGCCGTGTGGAAGCTTCCAGCACTGGGAAGCAGCTTCTCTGACCATGTGCTTGGGCTGTGCACTGGTCCTCTCTTCCCCTGGTATGTGGGATGTCACAGGCAGTGGACAGTCTGTTTTCTCTAGACTGCTGAAGGACATGGGAGCTGGGGGCACCCCAGGGCCCTGCATTTGTTAGTGTGGGCCGCTGGGTGGCTTCTGAGTGCAGAGCCCAGCTCTTCACGTTGCGTCCTGCCTTTTGTTTAGACTGGGCTGAACAGTTCCAAGCTGTCCGTGTCCAAGCCCCTCCCTCTCACCAAGGTGGTGCAGAATGACGCTTACACAGCCCCTGCACTCGCCTCCTCGGTGCGAACAAAGGCTTTGACCAACATGTCCCGCACGCTGGTGAACAAGGAGGAGTCCCCCAAAGAGCTGCCGCCAGCGGAGGTGAGGTGGGGGTGGCTATCCTGTTAGACTGTACCAAGGAGTATGAGCTCTGTGTGCCCTGCATACACAAGCCAAGACCTGGGCACCCTGCCCCAAAGGAGCTTGTTGGCTGGGGGCAGGGAGCTGCTAGGGCGCTGGGCAGAGGAAGCACCTGGGGACCAGGTGGAGTCTTGATATCCCGAGGTGAACAGCAGAGGCCCAGAAAGGCCTGGGCACTGAGGAGGGGAGGGTGGGGGGCGAGTGCCCTGTGCAAGAGGCCGCCCGCCACCTGACCTCTGCTCACCCCTTGTCTGTGTGTCAGCCCGTGCTCAGCCCTCTGGAAGGCACCAAGATGACCGTCAATAACCTGCACCCACGTGTCACGGAGGAGGACATCGTGGTAAGTCCTGTGGCCTGTCGGGCTTTTCAGGCCCCACCCGTCCCGGGGCCGAGGTCCTGGGCCGTCCTCAGGACCCCATTCGGGGTTTGCTGGGACCCCTGGGTTCAGGTGCACACTTAGCTGGCCAAAGAATCTGTGGCTGTCCCCCGGGGGAACTTGGGCATGAGTACTGGGATCTGCTTCTCAATGTAAATCTGCCTTTCTAATAAAAATAAATAAATCTTAGGGAAAAAACCCAAAACATTTAATTGGGATCATAACTTCAGTTCTGATTCATGATTTTGATAGTTAGCATTTTTCCTCTTATTGTTAGAAGTAAGTTCTTTTCTTTTTTTTTTTTTCTTAAAGATTTATTTATTTTATTGGAAAGGCAGATGTACAGAGAGGAGGATCTTCTGTCCGATGATTCACTCCCCAAGTGGCCACAATGGCCGATGCTGCGCCGATCTGAAGCCAGGAGCCAGGAACTTCTTTCCGGGTCTCCCCCGTGGGGGCAGGGTCCCAAGGCTTTGGGTCGTCTTCGACTGCTTTCCCAGGCCACAGGCAGGAGCTGGATGGGAAGTGGAACTGCCGGGATTAGAACCACCACCCATATGGGATCCTGGCACATTCAGGATTAACCATTAACCATTATGCTATTGCGCCAGATCCCAAAACAAGTTATTTTTAAGCACAGCCCTGACAGGGGCAGTTGCAGATGAAGAAATAAATGGCCGTGGGCTCGTTGGCCTCTCCCCTGCCCCCCGGCCTGTTTCCTAGTTGTTAGAATGTAGAATGTGCGCTTGCAGTGGGATGCTGTGTGCGGTGTGCGGTCCACAGGTGCTCTCGGGCGTGTTCCCAGCAGCCGTGGAGGCGAGTGTGTAGGGCCCCTCTTCTCCCCAGGGAGGAACCAGCCCCTGAGGTGTTACCTGCCTTACTGGAGACCACCCAGCCAGTGTGCGATCCCAGGCTCAGACCTGCCCTGCGTGGCTCTGACCTCTCGCCAGCGGCTTGGGTGTTAGCATGTGAGGGCTTGGTCTCGGCTTCCCGGACCTGGTCTCACTGACTAGAGCTCTGGAATTTGTGCTGCTCACAGCTTCCCAGATGAGCGTTACCTGTGTTTGCTGAGCTCATGAGTTCATCCTGGTGACGGCTCCGGGAGAAATGTTTTGGCCTCTTGAGGACCCACTTCCCCCTGCCCCTCGTCAGATCCTGTTGGGGGCCATCCTTCAGCCCCGGCCCTAGGAGAGCGTGGGGGACGGTGCTCCTAATCCCATGCCATCGGTCCTCGTAGGAGCTTTTCTGTGTGTGCGGCGCGCTCAAGCGGGCTCGGCTGGTCCACCCCGGGGTGGCGGAGGTGGTCTTCGTGAAGAAGGACGACGCAGTCACCGCATACAAGAAGTACAACAACCGCTGTCTGGACGGTACGTCGGACACGAGGCCTGTGGATCAAAAGCGCCCGGACAGACACCTCTGGGGACCTCTGCGCGTGATCTGGGTGTCCCTGGGGCCCTGGCTTTTCACTCAGCCTTAGGTGCAGGAGGAATGGAGACCCATTTCACTGCATGGCATTCTCTTAGGAGGGTTTGGGGAGGGCCTGGCACAATAGCTTAAGTAGCTAATCCTCTGCTTTCAATGCCTGCCCCTATTCTGTACCTGCTTCCCTCTGTCCTCTCACCTTTTCACCTTGGATGGGGGAGGTTCCTGAACTTCTCCCTAGGTCTACAGACATCTGAACCTCTGCGTGCTCTGCTCACTCCCTCCCGCCAGGCACCCTTCTGTACCTGGCTTCACAAGATAGGCACGCCGTGCTGCCTTTGGCAGGGGGCACGTTGTTGCTTTGCCTCCGGCTGCTTTCCTAGCAGAGGGCCCCTCGCCCAGGGATCGGCCGAACCTGGCAGCCTTGTCTTGTGTGAGGAGCTGAGCCCTCTTCTTTGGTTTTTCAGGGCAGCCAATGAAGTGCAACCTTCACCTGAATGGGAACGTTATCACGTCGGACCAGCCCATCCTGCTGTGAGTCCCCAAGGCCACGGGGCGGGGCCTGTCTGCTTACCTGCCACACATAGCTGTGTCACCGCCATCCATTCCATTTCCTCTTATGACAGCTGCTCGATCATGGGTTTCCATTTCAGCCAAGTGGTTGATGCTGCTGTCTGCCCACACTTGGTGCTGCCTGGGGTAGCATTGCGGCCTTGGTCTCAGCCTTGGCAGGGACAGGGAGAGCAGGTGCTCCCGTCTCTCCTGCACAGGGTGCATCGTCTGAGGGAGTGACAGCACAGTCGCAGGCTCGGTCCTGAGCACTGGGCCCCTGTGCCTGACCGTGGCCAACGACTGTTCTAGACTGTTGGGGCTAGGACAGCATTTCCAGAGAAGGAAGTGGGTGCCCAGAATAGGCAGGAAGTGGGTGCCCAGAATAGGCAGGAAGTGGGTGCCCAGAATAGGCAGGCAGGCCTAAAACAGACTTTGAGATATGGAAAGGCTGGACTCTAACCCTGGGTAATGAAGTAAGTGGTTTGGACATACTTCTTAAACGGTGTTCAGACACAAAGTTGGGTTGTGAAAGTGTTTCTTAGGGTTCTGTGATCCGATAAGTTTGGGAATTGCTAGGCTAAGTAGAATTCAGTTGATTCGTCCTCCTCAGATTGTGTGATAAAGTATGTTATCCCCAAGGGGACATACAGTGTTCCCCAAGCTTAGTGCCCCATTCCCTGCAGCTGCCTTGGGGTTCATGACCGGGGGACACATTGGAGGCAGAAAGCACTGTGTTGTGTTGGGTGCCCTGGCCATGGCAGGTGTCAATGACTGGGGGACCGTCTCTGCTCCCCAACAGGCGGCTGAGTGACAGCCCTGCCGTGAAAAGAGACAGCGAGTTGCCTCGAAGGGTGAACTCCGCTTCCTCCTCCAACCCTCCGGCTGAAGTGGACCCAGACACCATCCTGAAGGCGCTCTTTAAGTCCTCCGGGGCTTCCGTCACCACGCAGCCTACAGAATTCAAGATCAAGCTCTGAGCGGGGCAGAGGCGTTGTCCTGTCTCCACGGGCAGAGCTCGAGACCAATGGGCCCTTGGACTGCAGCCTCCCAGGCGGGGCAGGCCGCCAGGGTGGAGCTTGCCCACTGGACGGGTCCTTCTGTGTGTCACTCGTCCTGTACTGTAGTGTTTGTCTCCTCCCACCTCACCACCAAGGTAGGCTTGGGTTTCTCCAGGCGTGCCTGCCCTCCCTTCAGCTCCAGGTGGATTTCTTAGCTGGAATTGGTGTGTGGTCCACCGGCTCAGACTTGGGATGCTGAGGGCCACGGTCTTGCCCGGGCCACAGGTTATCTTCCCTTTTGTGTTTAAGTTTTCAAACAAAAGCCGTGAACAGGATCCCTTCCTGTTCTGATGGGGACCTTGCCTCAGCCTGTTTCGTTGCTGGAGATGGCATGGTTGGCAGCGGGGCAGGGCCTCTTGTCCCCCTCCTAGCAGGAATGACTTCAGGCCTGATTGGTGGTCTGCAAGGGTGGACTGAGGCTTCTGCCCTGCCAGGAAGGTGCACCCCACTTCTGGGCATGGAGGCCAGAGCCGCTTAAGGCAACCTGGAATAGAATCGTGCTGTGTGCCCAGTGTGCAGCCCCGGCCTTTTGGCCTCGTAGGTGACACTGCAGGGGTGTGCACTGTGCACCCTCAGTCCTCACTCTGAGGGGCTCTCACTGCACCCTGATTTTGGTGCAAATCCTGCCTCTCAGCCAGTTGGGCCTTTCCAAGGCTCCCCCTCCTTTCGTTCAACATCATGGCTTTGAGGATGGTTTAAATGGCAGGTGTGCCTGCTTTTGTCTATGCCTCTGTTTCTAGAACAGTGTAGAGCCTGGGGCAACATGACCCCTGCTGGGATTGTAAAGGGACTGTGGGCTTGCAGAGCTGGAGCCAGCTAAGCAGCACGCTTCTGGAAACTCGGCAGTAGCAGTTGCAAGCACAGCGCATTGCACAGGCCTGAAACGCAGAGGGCACTGTAACACTGAGGGCCTCCTGGCACTTGCCTGAAACCAGCCCAGCAAGAGACAGTGGAGTGACATCTGTCAAGCAAGAAGGGACCAGCGTTTGGACGTCCTCAGTCCTCCAGCTCTGGGCTGCCCGGGCCAGGGAGGCCCAGGCCAGGCTCCCGCTGAGCTCCTCTCTGGTTCTCCAGCGGGAGTTGCTTCCCCTGACCCACTTGGTGGGTACAAACCCGAGTTCCTGTAGCACCTGGATGACATTCCTCCCACAAAGGCCGGAAGGCAACAGGCCCGGGTTCCCACGCGCTGGGAGCAGTCACTGCTGGCACTCCTCAGAGTGGCATGGAAATGTGTCACCACCAAGACTGTGTGCTGCCCGAAGCTCCCAGGCCAAACAACACTTACCAGTGCTGTTTCCCTGAGTGTGGCCCTTGCCCACTGGCCATGTGGACCCTGTGTTCTGGGTGACCGCACGCTATGTTGACAGGAAGGGGCCCGTGTGCTTCCCCTGCCCTGCAGGTTGTTGTCTTGGGAAGTGGGAGCCACCTTGGCATCCTTCCCCGCCCCTCACCCCTCTGTTAGCTGTCTCTCCTTCAGGAGGAGGGAAGAGGCATTAGGGGATGGAGGTGACTGTGTACTTCCCGTTCTGAATAAATGTTTGTTATTCCTACCTTTGAGCTGTGTTCTTAGCATAGGGTATGAAGTGGCCTTTGTGGGGCTTGACACCAGAGAGCCACGGTCTGCCTCGGCCTCAGCACTGACCGCTCCAGCCCTCCACCTGCCTGCAGTCCTGGCTGCCGCTGGCCTGGGTGGCCGTGGAGGTGTGAGCGCTGGCATCTGGGCACGCATCTCCTAGGCCTACTGTGCCTTGCCAGGGTTGAGCATGGACTGCCCCCTGATGGGGCAGGGAACAGGGGCACCAGACCTGTGGCCTTCACCTTGATTTGGAGATGTTCCATTCATGCATGAAATGTAGCTTGTGGGTGGGGTACACCTTAGGAAAGGAGAAACTGGCTAATTCTGATTAACTTTATTGTGATAGTAAACGTGGGCTGGGAGTGGTGGTGGTAAGCCAGTCTGCAGTGCTGGGGTCCCTTACGGGCGCTGCCTGCTCCACACCTGACCGGTTCCCCGCTCACACCTCTGAAAGCAGCAGCAGATGGTCCAAGTGCTTGGGTCCCTGCAGCAACCCGCACGAGGCGCGGATGCAACCCCAGGCCCCTGGCTTTGGACAGGCCCAGGCTGGACGTAGTGGTCATTTTGGGAGTGGGCCAGTAGAGACAAAATCTGTCTTTCCTCTCTAACCCACCTCAGAATGCTTCAAGCAAAATCTTTAAACAAAAAAAAGGGGGACTGGTGCTTGGCCTGGCCATTGGTGCGGCCTGTTGTGACGGGAGTGCCTCAGTTTGAGGCAGCCTACTTCACATCCTTGGAGGCAGGCATGATGGGCTCCCTGACACCCACGCAGGAGAACACAGGAGTCCCTGGCTCTGGCCTCCTGCCCAGCTCCAACTGTGTGGGCATTTGGGCATGCTTTTCTGCCAGTCTTTCTCCCAGAGAAAGGAGCCCTACTGGAAAGGAACCTCTCCTGAGCAGGTGTCATGGGCCGGCCTCGGCTGTCCAGCAGACCACGGCAGAGGAACCAGCTAGGGGCTCGGGGAAGGTGACCTTCACCCAGGCGGTAATGAGCTCCCTGGTGAGGAGGATGCCGGGCTTGCTGTGGCCGTGTTGCCTTGGAGCTGGCCTTCCAGATGCTGACAAGTGGGGTGATGTGAGCCCCAGGACAGGACCAAGGCCCGGGCCGGCCAGGGAGCAAGCCACAGGGCTCTGAGATGATGGGCTGGTCGCCCATGGCAGCCATGAGAGGAGACGCTGGCTGCTGCACACGGAACAGCCTCAGGCCCAGCAGTCAGGGAAGAAACCAGCGAAGCCACATTAGTGGCTGCACTGAGACCCACAAGAACCGAGCGCTGGCAGAAGGGGATGCCAGGGACCGGAAAGGCTGTGGAGGCAGTAAATGGAGTCCTTGAGATTCTGTACACTCACTGCTGTGACCACACCCTCTCTACCTTTTCCATTATGTAGGAGTTTGAAAGGTGGGAGAACCAGGGAGGGTTCGCTCACTGGTCTGCTCGCCAAGTGGCCACACAGCCCAGTGTGGTCCAAGCTGTAAGCCCGAGCTTAGCCATGGGCGCAGGGCCGAGGCGCGGCAGCTGCTGGAGCCGCCTGGCCACCAGCCCCTAGCTGCACTCCCCGCCGCTGGGGCTCCTTCTCCCTGCCCTGGCTTCCACCTCCCCGAGACGCCCCTGCCACGTCTGTCCGCCCACGCTCCCAGCCTCGCGGCCTCTTAGGGCGCCCGCCACCCCAACCCCGCAGATCCCCATCCGTCCCTAGGCCCCAGGGACCATAAGCCCCAGGAAGGCTGGGGCTGACCTCGCCCCGGGGCCATCGTCGCAGGCGGCTCGCGGCTGCTTGAGGCACAGGTGGCTGCGCAGGGTGCCCGCACTTGACACGGCGTCATCCGCAACCTTCGGTGCCAGCTAAGGGAAGAAGCTTGGGCCGCGCGCGGGGCGGGAACCGGCCCGGAACCGTCGTGCTGTCGTCATGGAAACGCGCCGAACTACAACTCCCGGCGGCCCCTTTGCTTCCGGTCGGCAAGATGGTGGCGCGCAGGAGGAAGCCGGCGGCTCCTGGTGGCACGGGGGCGATCCTGAGCCCGCCGGGCTACTCAGGTGAGGGGACTTGGGGGCACCCGGCCCGGGGAGCGGCAGGGCTTCGCGAGGCGGTGGCCAGGGACGCACGCGGCACCTTCCTCTTGCCCACACGGCTTTCCCGTGTGGGTTCACGTTTCCCACGCGGGGCTCCAGCTCGGCGCACGCTCTGCCCCGGGCGACCCTGTCCCTGTGTGCACCCCCCAAGAGGTGCTGAGAAAACTAGAATCCAGGCCCCGGGGCCAGGTTTGGGCTTTGCCTGCAGGAACACCTGCTCCCCACGCGGGAGTGAGTGCCGGGGTTTCCTGTCCCTTAGCTTCCTGCTAGTGAGCGTGCGTCCTGGGAGGCAGCAGGGATGGCTGCTTGGGAGCACCTGAATTCCCAGCTCCTGGTCCTGTTTCTGAGACCAATGAAAAAGAAAACTCCCCAGGGAATGCCAGCAGGGGCTCTGGCCTGGCCGGGGAAGGGAGAGGATGAGGGTGTTGGGGGAAGTGAGGGTTGCGCTGGAACCTGAGGCGGGTGGCAGGACCAGGGACTGTGGGCCGGGCCAAGTGGACAGCACACGAGGGGAACAGAGTGGGCCAGAGGGGGACATGGTGCGAGAATGTCTCAGGGCTGCAGCACAGTCCATCAGGGGTTGGGCCTTCCCATCTCTGCCCGACCTCGCCTGCCCAGGGTGAGGGCTCAGGGGAGAGGAAGGGATGCGAGCCAGCCAGAATGGCCTCTGCCCAACCGCTGATTGCCTTGCAGCCATCCCAATCAAGTTCTCGGAAAAGCAGCGGGCCTTTCACTGCCTCTATGTGCGAGAACACAAAATCCGGGCAGGCGCCCAGTCGGCCTGGCCGGAGAGGCGCACCCTGTTTGTTCTCAACGTTCCCCCATATTGCACGGAGGTGAGCCGCTTCCAGGGGTGGGGGGCTGTATGTCTGTTACTCAGAACTGTTTGTTTTCTTTTGCTTTTTAAGATTTGTTTTACATATATGAAGGGGTTAGAGCTCTTCCACCCACAGGGTGACTTTCCAGGTGGCTGCAGTGCTGGAGCTGGGCCATGCTGCAGCCAGGAGCCTGGAGCTCTGTCCAAGTCTGCCTCAAAGGTGGCAGGGGGCATCTTGCATTAGCAGGGAGCTAGATCGAAAGTGGAGCAGGCAGGATTTGAACTGGTGCCTGTGTGGGCTGTCGGCTTCGCACTTGCCATGGCCCCACGTGCTGGTACTTACATACCCGCAGGAGAACCTGCAGCAAGCCTCAGAGACCGACCTCCACACCCACTTCCAGACAGTTAGCATAGCTGTTCTGTGTAGGCTTCGGTGCATTTACAGAAGAGAGACGGGGATTTGCTCAGTTTTAAAATACATTACTTCCAGAAAAGAAATCATATTTTTCTAAGCCCCCCGAGTGGGAGAAGGAAGCAGTGCTGAGAGGAGTGGGTGTCCCCAGCTGCCTCTGCCCTGCCCATGGTCATGCACAGGTGTGTGGCTCCCTGCGTGTCTCCCTGCCCAGCCCATGGTCATGCACAGGTGTGTGGCTCCCTGCGTGTCTCCCTGGGGTGCCCGCAGCCCTTATCCTGGCTTTCCCATTCCAGCTGATGCATACCCTGGGCGCCGACTGATGGCTCAGCCGCTGGACGTGCTGGGGACCCAGGGAGCGTCCCTGCCTCGTGGTACCAGGCTGCTCTGGCACTGGCTGCTGTGGGCATTTGCAGGGAGGAACCAGCAGATGGATGTTCCCTCTCTATACCTGTCTGCCTTGGCAATAAAATGGAAATGACTTAAAAATAGTAAAAACATGCAAGCTCCCCAGGTAGGAAGATGTGACTTGAGTCCTCCAGGGCTCGAGTCCCCCACCAGGCTGCTCAGGTGTGGCCTGGAGGGGCTGTGGACACTCACGCTGCCCTCCCTGTGTCACCAGGAGCACCTGAGCCGCCTCCTGTGGCCCTGTGGCCCTGTGCAGTCTGTGCATCTGCGGGCGAAGCCCGACCTCGCCGAGGGCCCAGAGGAGCCCGGATCCAAGTTCTTCCACCCGAAGCCTGTGCCCGTAAGCCTCCCGGGACTGGCTTCTGCTGGGGCGTGGGGGTGGGGGCTTCTGTTCCTGCCCACATTGACCCCATTGCACTTTGTGGGAGCTCGGCATCCATCTCTGCGGGCAGGGCTGCAGGCTCTGCCCAAGCTCCCTGCCAGGGCAGACTCCTCCCCAGGCCGGGGCCTCTGCCGCAGGAGCGCTGCCGCCCTGCTGTTCCTGGCTCTCCAGCCCACACCTTCCCTGCCTGCAGGAGTCTGGTTGGCTGTGTGAGTATCATCTGTCCACTCTGGGCCTGTGCGTGCGGAACAGGGGGTCACTTCTGGTCAACATCTCTGGGTCCTTGGCCGGCTCCCACCAGCTTTGTAGCAGGTGAGGACTCGGGCCAGTGTGGGGAGGCCACCCACACCCTGACCTGTCTCCCCAGGGCTTCCAGGTGGCCTACGTGGTGTTCCAGAAGCCGAAGGCGATGCTGGCCGCCCTGACACTCACTGGCCCTTTGCTTGTCTCCACGGAGAGTGAACCCGTGAAGACTGGCGTCCACAGTCAGTACTGCTGAGGCCGGCAGTGCCTCCCTGAGGGCCTGCTGAGGGGTTAATGCGGGAGCTTAAAGGAGAGCGGGCAGGGGGAGGCCTGGGCAGATGGGCCCCGACTGCCTCTGAGACTTAGGGAAAGGGGAGCTGCTCCCGGGGCACTGGGAAGCACAGGACCCTGAGGTCCTGAGTGGAGCCAGGTGTCAGGCATGCGGCCTCCATTCCTTGTCCCTCCGTGTCCCTCAGAGTGGATAGCTGACTATACAGACTCTGTGGTCGACCCGGAGGCCCTGCGTGTGGAGGTGGACAAGTTCATGGAAGCATACGACCGCAAGATCGCCGAGGTGGGGATCTCACAGGGCTGGGGAGAGGGTCTCAGGCTCCCTTCTTCCCTCCTCCCCACGTCCCAACACTGCTCTGGGGGTCCAGTCGGTCGGGGTGAGGGCAGCAGACACCTGCACATTCCCAGAGTGGACCTCTATGGAAGAGGAGGTGCTGGGATCCCCGGAGCCTGCCCCGAACAGATCGCATTTCCTGTAGGAGGAGGCCAAGGCCCAGGAGGAAGAGGGAGTCCCCGATGAGGAGGGCTGGGTGAAGGTGACACGCCGGGGCCGGAGGCCCGTGCTCCCGCGGACAGAAGCGGCCAGCCTGCGTGTGCTGGAGAGGGAGAGGCGGAAACGTGCTCGCAAGGAGCTGCTCAACTTCTACGCCTGGCAGCACCGCGAGACCAAGATGGAGCGTAAGGCAGCCCTGGAGCCCTGTGCCCAGCCCTGGAGGGTCCTGCAGGGCTGCGCCATGACTGGATGCTCACGGCCTGTGTCTGATGCAGCCAGGCTGGTCCCGGCCAGGTCATGTCGCCAGCCCTCTGGTCCCCCATCACCCCTCACCCCTGTGCTCCGTCTCCCTTGGCTCTGCTTTCTGGCTTGAGTTGCCAGTCACCTGGGTTCCACCTGCACCTGGTGGCGCTGCGGTGGAGGCCTCCCCCGTGGGTGCAGCTGGGACCTGCAGGGTCCGTGGCCTGGGGCCTCCAGCACATCCCTGAGGGGCAGGCACCCTTCTGCCCCCAGAGCTCCCTCGTAGGGCCCAGGTGGTACGGGGTGAGGGTAGGGAGCTGCGAGGAGCACCCTCTGTGGGAATAGGGAGGACAGCAGGCACAGCTCACCCCACAGCTCATCCCCCGTGTCCCCAGATCTCGCACAGCTGCGCAAGAAGTTTGAGGAGGACAAGCAGAGGATTGAGCTGATGCGGGCCCAGCGCAAGTTCCGACCCTACTGAGTGTGCCAGCACCTGTGCCGGGGACCCCGCTGAGCACACAGGCTGGGAGCGAGGGAGCAGCACACACCAGCTGCTGTGGCTGTCCCAGGGATTGCCACAGCCCGACCACCAAGACCCCATCCCTTCCCCACCCTGCCCTACAGCTGTCCAGGAGAAGCCGTCCCACTGGAGAAGCTGTGCTGGCTGTGAGAGCTGCCAGCCCTGAGAACACAGAATGGTTTTATTTCTCATGCAGCCGGGTGGCAGGGGAAGATTCTGGGACCTTGGGGCTGGAGGACCAGGGAGGCCTGTCCCTGCTGTGGTGGAGCCTGGGCCTGGGAATAGGGGTGGCCGTCGGTGAGATGGGGGGCTCAGGTTACAGCTGGGCTTGAGTGTGTGCTCTGTAGAAAGGAGCTGATGGCGCCGGCCACGCGGTGGGGCTTGTTCAGGTATACGTAGTGGTTGCCTGGCACCTCCACCATCTGGAACCGCTGCAGACATGAGGGTTATGGTGAAGTGAGGCCAAAGTGGGCCCTGCCTGCTTGAATCCGGGAGTGTTCTTGTCGTGGGCTCCCCTGAGGCTCAGGCCCCCTGAGAAGCATGACCCAGGCTGGAGCGGCTCCTGAGATACCTGGGGGCAAAACAGCTCCGCCTTGGCCCTGACCCATCGGGCCGCCAGCCAGTGGCCTTCACTGTGGTGATGTGTGCAGTGGTGGCCAGATCTTCCCAGAGACCTGGGCCCTGCAGTCTCCTTGCCTCCCTGTGGCTGGTGCCCTGCAGTGGGGCGGGACGAGGCGCTCTGCTGTCTTTTGGGGTCCTGGAAGTCAGGATCTGTGGGTGGCAGTTGGTCCACTGCCCTATGCCTGGCACGCGGGGTATATGAGGGCAGTAAACCTGGAACATTCTGCAACAACGGGTCTGTTACCTGACTTCTGATTAGCAGGTTACCCTTGGCCTCTAGGGATGACTACCACGGCGCAAGATGGCCTGCCAGCTCCTGGGGCAGGGGCCTGGAGTGAGAGCTCACCTTGGGTTGGTTTTTTAGGGTGGTCACCATGAAGAGCGGCTCTCAGGTCGCTGTACCCCTTCAGGGCTCTGGGGAGCCAGGGTCAGAGTTCACCTCCACAGGCTAGGCCTGGGTTGCCCGCTGCTGCCCATGTCCTCCCTGGCTCTAGGACCCTCCCTCCCCCCCGCCACATGGCCCTGCAGGATCAAGGCAGCAGTGGGGCTGGGGAATAGGGAGGTTCCCCCCTCCCCGTCCTGCTTTGCCAGGCTCCCTTGACAAGCAGGACTAGGACCTGCAGCTTCTGGATGGCTTGTGTCAACAGCTCCCTACTGACGAATTTGATGGTGTGCTACAGCTGTAGGCAGAGAACGGGGGTGAATCCTTGCCAAGAAGCCCTGGCAGGCCCGAGCCCATGGTTGCCAGGCCTGCACAGCTGCTCAGCCACTCACCCCAGGGCAGGCTGTCTGTCTCACACCTCTCGTGACCTGGGACTGGCTGAATGATGGCCGAGATGTGACTGGCTGGTCCTGGAGCCCAGTACTGAGCTGTGGCCCCTCCCCGCCCCCTTGCCTTCCTGGGTGCCCAGGCTTCTTCGCAGCCTGGTGCAGGCAAGCAGAGCCACCTGCCTGCTTCACGGGGCTGACTTTGCAGCAAGAAGTGCCTCCCATCGCAATCCTAGCCACCTGTCTTCCTGCTTCTTTGATGAGTCTAATGGACTGTCCCACACAGTGACCCAGACACTGGATACCAAATACGCAGTGTAGCTGTGTGATCAGGCTGACACTGAAGGTGGACGGCCTCTTGGATGCCCTGGCTTAAATAAAACTACAGTTGGTTGTGCCTACTTAGGAAAGATTTATTTGCAAAAGTGATCGCTCGTCCATCTACTGTGCTGGTTCCCTCCCCAGAAACTCGCAACAGCCTGGGCTGGGCCATGCTGAAGCCAGGAGTCTGACTCCTTCCAGGTCTCCTGTGTGTTGGCAGGGAGCAACAGGCACTTAGGCTACCCTTGGGTGCACTGACAGGAAGCTGGGTTGCAAGCGGAACGGCCGAGACTTGAACCTGCCCTCTGATGCAGGTGTGGTAAGCATTAGCTTACCTTGCCTCACCGTCATGCCACCCCCATTTTCTCACTTCTGATGTGCTTCTAGGAAATGTGGAGTTGGGGCTGGAGCTCCTCCCTGCTCCCATTGCACTGGCAGTCACTCGCCTGGTGTGTGTGAAGTGGGCAGACTTTTCGGGGCCCACACTGTACCCCCACCATGGCCATGAGTGCAGATTTGTGTAAACAGGAAAGCATGCGTTTGGGGCAGCCATTTCTTGCTCCTTGGAGCTGTCCCAAAAACCTGGGTCTCGCATCAGCCCCAAGGCTCAGTGACCTAGGGAAGAGGCTGACCATGCTGCCTCCTCTCCTGTCCCCACAAGCTCTCAGCCTTGGAGCAGTGGCCAGGACAAGGCTCCAGGTGTGCCCACTCATGCCTGTGGATCAGAGCACAGCATTCCAGGAGAGACGGAGGACCCGGAAGGCTGAGCTAGCAGCTGCCGGGAGATGGCGCCAGGGCTCAAAGTGAGGCCAGGCTGCCAGCCGCGCCCTCTATGGCCTCATGGCCTCCCTCCAGTACTGCCCTGCTGCCAAGACTGGGACTGAACTGGTCCCCGTGGTGGGGAGTGGGGCCACAGTCCTGTTTTACAGAAGGACATTTCTTGCCCCGCCACGTAAACTCGGATACCTCAGCTGCCTGGGCCTCAGTCTGACCTCGGCCATGCAGGCCATGCTGGGAAATGTAGCCGAACAGGAGTCTGGGTGGCAGAGGTGCCACACGGGGCTGTGGTGCCAACTAGCTCCTCTTCCACCTCCCTTTGGGGCTACCTTGTGCAAAATTCACCCCTGAGACCAGAGGGCAAACAGCCTTCTGGGAGAGCACTTGCAGGGCGATGAAGGGGAGGGTGCTCCCTGCCTGTCATGGTCACGGGGCTGCCTCAGGGTTCCTGCCTGCTCAGTAACCGAAATAGCAAAAACCTCTACAACAGAAGCGTGTGTGTCCGAGTGCACACACACACAGCTGATCCCACAACACAGCTGGCAGCTGGTGGGCAGCTCTGTGCTTGGGAAAGCAGGAGAGGAGTTCCTTAAGATAGAAAGTAAAGGAGGAGGCAACTGAGGGAAACATTACATTACATGTTTTTAAAAAAAAAATGACCAGGGCCTGGCGCGATAGCCTAGCGGTTAAAGTCCTCCCCTTGAACATACTGGGATCCCATATGGGCGCCAGTTTGTATCCCGGATGCTCCATCTCCCTGCTTGTGGCCTGGGGCCCAAAGCCTTGGGATCCTGCACCTGTGTGGGAGATGCAGAAGAAGCTCCTGGCTCCTGGCTTCGGATCAGCTCAATCCCGGCCGTTGCGGCCACTTGGGGAGTGAACCTTCAGATGGAAGATCTTCCTCTCTGTATATTTGCCTTTCCAATTAAATCATCATCATCATCTATGGACTCAGCATTGTGGAGCAGTGGGTAAAGCTGCCGCCTGCAACAATGGCATCCTCTGCGGGTGCCAGCTCAAGGCCCAGCCTGGCTTCCGGTCAGCTCCCTGCTAATGCTCCCTCGAAGGCAGCAGGAGATGGCCATGTACTTGGGTCTCTGCCACCTGTGGCTTCCAGCCTTGCCTGGCTCCGCTCTGAGTGTGGGGACCATATGGGGAGTGAACCAATGGCTGCAAGATCTCTACCTGCCTTCCAAATACATGAAAGCAGACTTCTGAGACACGATGCAGCTGCACACATTACCCTGTGGTGCTTTAAACATCAGAGGAACTGACCCAGAATGCAGTTGGGAGACTTTCTCATGGACCCAAGACCTAACCCTGCGAACCAAAATGAGGGCACAGTGGGTTAAGCCGCTGCCTAAAATGCCAGCATCCCATGTGGGCACCAGTTGGAGTCCCCAACTGTTCTGCTTCTGATCCAACTCCCTGTCAACGCACCGGAGAACAGAGCTAAAGATGGCTCCCATGCTTGGGCCCTGAATCCACATGGGGGTCCGGATGAAGCTCCTGGGTGGCTGGCCACTGTGGCCATTTGGAGAGTGAATCAGTAGATGGAAGACAGTTCTGTCCACCTGTCTAATTTTGCCATTCATTTAAATACATATTTAAAAGGATCATGGATTATGCTTGCACAGACTGTTGCCAATATGATTCTAAACCAACTGAGAAGCCAGCAGGCACACAGCGAGGGGCTGTGGCCACAGTGGCACTCACCAAGGTGACCCTCTGATCCCTGTTCAGTACCAGCCCTGCAGGTGGAAGCACAAAGATGGTGGGTGGCCTTGGTGCCACCTGTCAGGGGAGGGGACTCATCTCGGGGATCCCGGGTGCTTCCAGCCAGGGCTCGGCTCTGCTGCCTGGGGGGCAGTGGGCCCTGCCCCTGATACCAGTTTGCCAGAGCCCACCTGACTTGCATCCCAAGGCCTCAACACAGGCCACTCCAAAGGGGTGGGAACATCCAGTTTAGCTGGCATTGAGCACTCTAGCCCAAGGTTTACGGTGTCTTGACCCCAGGAAGTGGAAACTGACCAAGGCTGAAGCCATCACTGAGTGGAGAATCACACGTCAGGCCCCTCACGAGGCCTCCCACGGCCACCCTGGCTGTGTCGGAGGGCGGGCACAGCCCACCAGGAGCCATGCCCGTCCAGCAGTGCTTCCTGGGCATCCCCTAGAGAAACTGCTGGGCATGGGTGGTGGCCAGCCTGGCAACCACCGCCTGAAGTGGGCGCTCTGCGGCAGGGCAGCCGGGGGAGAGGGCTGGGGTGCTGGTGAGGCCTGCAGGCATCAACATGGGTGAAGAGCGAGGCTGCTTCTGCCTGCCCGCTGTCCGCCCAAATGCCACCTCATAGCCAGGCCCCTACCCTCCGGCTGAAAACTGCCAACAGTTGGTGACAAGTACGTGGCCTGACTTCTTTTTATGAATACCATTTATTTTCATTTGAAAGAATTACAGAAAGGAGACACACAGAGCGAGATCCTCCATCTACTGGTTTACTCCACAAAATCATGCAATGACCAGAAGCGAGCCAGTCTGAATCCAGGAGCCTGGAGCTTCTTCTGGGTCTCCCATGTGGGTGCTGGGGGGGACCTGGGCTTCCCTCTGCTGCTGTCCCAGTGGGGAGCTGACCAGGAGTGAGGCAGCCGGGCCTTGGACTGCCTCTACACACGTCAGTGTTGCAGGTGAGTCAGCCCACCACAATGTGGTACTGCCACCCACTGCTTTTAAGATTTATTTACTTATTTTTATTGGAAAAGCAGATATATAGAGAAGAGGAGAGACAGAGAGGAAGATCTTCCATACGCTGGTTCACTCCCCAAGTGGCCTCAACAGCCGGGCTGCGCCAATCCGCAGCCAGGAGCCAAGAACCTGTTCCAGATCTCCCACGTGGGTGCAGGGTCCCAAGGCTTTGGGCCATCCTCGACTGCTTTCCCAGGCCACAAGCAGGGAGCTGGATGGGAAGTGGGGCTGCCGGGATTATAATCAGCACCCATATGGGATCCTGGCATGTGCAAGGCAAAGACTTCAGCCGCTAGGCTACTGCACTGAGCCCCTGTTATTATTTTTTAAAATCACGTAACGAGAACTGGTGCAGTGGTGTAATAGGCTAATCCTCTACCCCCAGCACCAGCATCTCCTATGGGTGCTGGATTTCAAGTCCCAGCTGCTAACTTCTGATCCAGCTCCCATGATGCTCTGAGAAAGCAGCAGAGGAAGGCTCAGGCCCTTGGGCTCCTGTGCTCACATGGCAGAACTGGAAGGAGCTCCCGGCTTTGGACTGACTCTGCTTGGCCGTTGTGGCCATTTGGGGAGTAAACCAGCATGTGGAAGATCCTTCTTTCTGTCTCCCCTCTCACTGTAATTCTGCCTTTTGAATTGAAAAAACAGAAGGAAGACTAAAGCCATTGCTTAAACGAACAGACCTGAAATATACACAGAAGTTATCCGGAACTCAAGCACCCAATTCTGACTCTCATGTGAAAAACCAACGAGAACTACAGGGGAGCTGAAAATGGCCAAGCCAGGAGGCTGGCCCCACACGCACGAAGCCTCCACGCCAGGCTTGCATGACGCAAGTGGCAGAGACAGGCAGCCAGGCCCCAGCCAAAGCAGAGAGGAGCCGCCAGGGAGTGCGGTAGCCCCCTGTGGTCAGGGCAGGGGGTGGGGACCATACAGCCCAAAACAGTGTTGGCGACAGAGAGGCCACCTGGACAAAGATCGGGTCTGATCCAGACCTGTGGTGCGACCCAAGGCATCAAAAACTCACCTGCAGGAGATAAACCCCAGAGAGACCAGAGCCCAACCCCAGCTCTGAACGGATTCCAACCCAGAAGCCACAAGCAAGTCCCAAAGAAACCATACCCCAGGAAAGGAGGCATCCGCGCACCTGCCCCTCGTGCAGAGGACTCTGGGACACTGGGAGCAGCAGGCGGTCAGGAACCTGCAGGTCTGGGCACAAGCCTCCCAACCCCCAGGAGATGACTGCCCCAAACACTAAGAAAAGGCACTGGACCCTCCACCTGGCCTTCGGGCAGGACTGCAGTGCATGACACCACAGGCTCCAAGGGGCACAGTGGTGGCAAGTCTCACCCCCTCCCTCCACGCCAAGCGACGGAGCGAGTCCAGGCTGAGTCATGCACATGTCCGCAGAGCCAGGAAGCCAGGCTGTGCAGGCTGGGACAGGTGGGACACTCCAGCAGCCTTTGCGGGGGCTGCGCAGGTCAGCCAGCACATTCTGGGGCCCTCTCTGCAGACCTGCCTCAAGGGGCTGCTGGAAGTCAGGGTGGGCAGTGTGGCATAGTG